CCTCAGAGAGTCACGAACCAATGAAGTGAACTGATTGTCTCCTGCAAACTCCACTCTCTTTTTGCTCCTCTTTTATTTCCTCTGGGAGGGGCCATACATCATCCAACTGTGGCCTTACTCCCAAGTCAACCCCTGTTCTTTAGCTGTTCCCTTCGTCTGGCAATTCTGCACATGCGCACATTGGGAACAGGCTCCAGCTGTTTGTCTTCCTCACTGATTTCTGACTCTGAAGGCAGCTGATAAATGGCATATGGCTCTGGCCCCCTCTCTACCTGCGACACATAGCCCTCATCAGAGCCTTCCCCAGACTCCAGGACTGGCCCATGTTCCTCCCCAACCTCCTCACTGTCCAAATCTGCTGCCAGCTCTGCTAGCAGCTAGCGGGCCACAACACCAGTCCCAACAATCATGGCATACCCATGACTTAACTCTAACCAAGGAACAAAGCCCAGCTGCTGCTGGTTTTTTCTCCTTCCACTTATTTATGGACACTCAACTGCCTTGTAGTAAAGATATACATATCCACTATTCTGTTTCCTTTGTCATGTGAACATTATGAAAAATGAGTACAAAGTAATAAACCAAAGAAATGAAAAAGAGGAGGCTCATTAGCTTACAGCAGTGCAAACCAAATCTTCTCCATGTCTTTCCATCCTTGCAAATCATCCTTCCTTCTATCATATTAATACTCTGAGTCATATGGTAATTGCCTTTTGGCGTTTGAACTTCTCAGCTCATCAATTCCATCCAACTGCAGTTTATTCCTTCCTTTCTTCCTGAAACATTCACTCTTCCTACCACAATTCCATCCTCGTTCATACTCTCTATATGATTAAACTATTTTAACATACTTCTTTTGTACCTGCTACCCACTTGTGTATTCCAGCCATATTAATTCGCACCTCCCTTCGTTCTTGACCCATTCTTTTCCTATTTACGACACACACTTCTTCCCAATGCATAAAAGTTAACAAAAATATTAATGAAAAATATTACTGGCATTTAAAAAAATTCTCTTGACAAACATTCTTTCTCATAACGGACCTATTCTATCAGCAGCTGGTGCTTCCTCCCAACTTTCCTATCTTTAAGTAACATAATACCGAGGTATGAAAATTAATCCACTTGTTTTCATTTTTTAAATTTATGTTTACGTTTTAAATTCACACCACTTTCCCTATTAAACCTAATAAGCTTGGTCTTTGAGACACTGATTTTTCAGATCCAGATTCTCACTGCATCTTATTATTTATATATCTATGGATCCAAGGAGAATATTATACTGCTTCAAAATATGTGCAAATGATGCATGCATCTCAACAAGTTCTGATCTGAAAAATTGCATCCAGAAACTATGCTGTGATTAAGTGCAGAGTTTAGACTACCTAAGCTGTGAGAAGGGAAAATAGACCATGAATCTTGTTGAGAGCAAATTCACCTTCAGATATAGATATTTCCAGCCTGCCTTAACTCCCCCATTCACTAAGGTTAGCATTGCTCATCAAAATAAAAAATCTACAAAATTTTATCCAAGTGCTATCAATTAGCATTGAAGACTACTGACCTCATGCATCCAGACACTGAAAGGTTTCACCCAGGAATCGTTTTTCGCCAAGTGAAGATACGCGTTGAAGAGAATGAGATAAATATAACGTTCCAAGAATTGCAGGCTCCTTAGCTGTAAGGTCTGTATCTCTGCTTCCTCCTTTGCAGTTTTCCCCTGAAATCAGTAATTTTAAAAGGCTTCAATGGTAGGAATCAGATTGATTTGCATTTTAACAAAGAGTATGAAAAAAAAAATCAAAACACAACTGTAACAGCTCCGACACAATTCTGGGGATTATTTTTGATCAAAAGCTATAGAACAGTTGGGATGAGCTCTCAAAGTGGTTCCTTAGCAGCAGTGGTGGGATTCAAAAATTTTAGCAACCGGTTCGCTGCTCAGTTGCTGGGTGGGTGTGGACATGGCCTACTCAGCCTCCAGAACCATGGCGGGGGGGACGTTTTCACTTTCCCCAGGCTCTGGAGGCTTTCTTTGAGCCGCTGGGAGGGTGAAAATGGCCTCCCCTGGGCTCCGGAGGCCCTCCGGACGCCAGAAACGGGCCCATTTTTAGGCTTGCAGAACTTCCGGGAGGCCTGTTTTTTTGCACTCCCCAGTCTCCGGAAGCCTTCCTCAAACCTCTGGGAAGGTGAAAATGGTTTCCCCCAGTCTCCGGAGGCCCTCCGGAGGCCAGAAACAGGCCTGTTTCCACTACTGGTTCAGGTGAACGGGTGCAAACCGGTAGAATACCACCTCTGCTCTAGCCAGATTTGATTGGCTGATTTTGGCACTCTCACACTAATCAACTGAAAGGATCAAGGGAAGCCCTGGCATTGGGGTGGCACAAAATGTTTTATTTCTTTTTGGGTGGCGGGAGGGAGAAATGAACCAATGAATGATTGAATGGATGAACGTTCCCTAGATCAAGAACGTCCATTTCTTTTGAATCCTGAATCCTTCCACCCCAAGAAAAATGGCATTCCTGCAAATCAAAGTGGCAGCGACTCTTGAAAACAATTACTTTCAAAGTTGGCTCAACCTTCCTGTTTTAATACCTGTCCATATTAAATGCCCAATTCTGGAAGCAATTTGCAAGCTTCCCCATCAGCCTACCACAGTCTCACGAATGAAAGCTAATATATGTGTCCCAGGATAATGTTGTAGGCTCTAGTCTTGGTCAGTCAATTACTCTTCCAAGCTTTCAGACCCCTGCTGGAGTCCAGTCCCCTTGTCAGTTAACAGGGGTGCTGATTTATCACCAGATTGGATCCTGCTACCCCAGTATGGACGCTGTAGTGGCCCACCAGCAGCCAACAGAGCTGGCAGCAGATTGGGACAGTGAGGAGGTTGGGGAGGAACATGGGCCAGTCCTGGAGTCTGGCGAAGGCTCTGACGAGTCCTCTGTGTCGCAGGCGGAGATGGGGCCAGAGCCATCTGACAGTTATCAGCTGCCTTCGAAGTCAGGCCTCAGTGAGGCAGATGAATATCTGGTGCTTGTTCCCAGTGTGTGCATGCGCAGAGTTGCCAGATGAAGGGAACAGCAAAGGAACACAGGTTGACTTGGGAGTAAAGCCACAGGTGGACGGTGAATGGCCCCTCCCA